GGAGCCAGACTCGAAATCATGATCTGTTTGTCTATGTGTGTAGCATTCAGTAACACGGCTGCGTCGGCTGGGTGTCCCACCCATCTTGCCATGTACTCGCTCCGAATTTAGTCAGTGCACCTAGTCGTAGTATGAGCCACCAGTACGTCCGAGCCTCTTTATTCCGATGCTGACTTTTGCCACACGCCATGTTTTGTGACATGTGGCGGAGGGGTGAAACGGCATCCTCTTGCCCGGCGCCACCAGCCATTTCCATCTAGTAGGCCAAGCCCCGAAGCACACGGCTCGTTAACCGCCGTGCCAGAATGAAATAATTAATTCATTAATAAAGGTATTATTAATGGTTGATGTGGAGAAAGAGAACACAGAGAGAGGTTGGGAATGTGCGAAAGTCTTCCGGAAGAGGAGAGAGTTTTTCCTCCTTCTCCTGTGCTGTGGCCAGTCAAAGTGTGTCACATCTCGCTTTCCAATTGTGGACACTGACGCAATCGTCACTTATAATGCCTCCGCACTTTGCCATTGGGGCGAACTTAAACAGGTCCAACTGTCAGAATGCATGTGGATGTGCGGATGTCCAGGTGCATGATCTGTACGGGGACACGCATCTCCCTTTCCAATTGTGGAAGAGGTTATGAGGTAGTGGTGGTTTGATTATTAAAAAAAACCTGCTGAGGTCTTTGCATTTCTCATTTTCATCACTAGATTCACTAGTGGTAGTAGTTTGTGACATTGCCACCCTTTCCTGATCAGGCAAAGCTCCAACTAAGATGGTAATAACTCCAAGCACGTATTTCCTGACAAGTCTAGCACACATTTCCTGGCTAGACTTGTCTCACCATGTGCCCCTGCCTTCTCTCTCTCTCTCTCTCTCTCTCTCTCTCTCTCTCTCTCTCTCTCTCTCTCTCTCTCTCTCTCTCTCTCTCTCTCTCTCTCTCTCTCTCTGGAGATGGTGCTAATACTTTTCGTGGATTTAGTCCAACTCAATCTGAAGAAACATTTTCTCTGGTAACTGCTAATAGGTTTTGGTCTCAAATCTTTGGAATTGCTTTTTCCAGTAAACGTTGGCTTCATTTTTTTATGTTATTTGTTCCTGTAACTGGTTTATGGTGTGTGTGGGTGTGTGTGTGTGTGTGTGTGTGTGTGTGTGTGTGTGTGTGTGAACCGTCCCTCTTCGATTCCCTCTTCTATACCTGCTGTGGTCCTTTTCAGTCCAGGTGTGGTAGTAGAGGGCGAAGGCTTGATCGTCTTCCTGGATGCAGAAGGCATAGTCGTCTCTGCTGCCTCGAGGGAAAGTGCCGTGGCAGGTATAGCCGTAATGGTTGTGCCTTACATTCGAGTGAAGATGGTAGTTTCTGCCAAGAGAGTATTTCAGGAAGTAGGGGTACTTCCTGAAAAGAGGTGTTAGGGCCTTCAGTTCACTACTGGGCTCTCTTAACGTCGACCGGACCCAACTCCAACTCTGAACTGTCAGCTAAGGTCATACCTTGGACACCATGCCTCTATTCTTTCTGTTGCCCCTTTGTATCACTGGACCTTAGTGAAATTTCACGGCACAGGGGAAATGCCCCTACGTAAAATAATGTCCTTGCCTGAACTTGGTTGGAAACTACCTTCCACGCAGGTACTGAGGTGGCCGTGCTTTTCAGGCCCGAGCTAGGCTACCAGCCGTGCCGCCCGGGTCACCCTGTTTTCCTGGGCGGCCCGACCGTGCAAGGACCAGGGAAGGTCCCAGCCAGAAAAAAAACAAAAAAGAAAACCTGAAAAAAAAGGATGTTATTCAGCAAAATAAACTGAACAATTTTTGCCTTAGGGTCATATCGAAATTCTTTACCAAATTTAAAATAAAAATGAAATAAAACAATATTTTAATTTTTTTTATTCTTTTTTTTTTTTTGCCCGGCCGGGCAAATGGTCCGGGCCACTCTGGTAGCCTAGGGCCCTAGCTAAAAAAGCAGGCCTTCTAAACCACCAGTACATGGCCCTAACCATGCAGAAAGGGGACTCGTCCCCACCCGCGAAATGTTCAGGCTTTTCAGGGATTGGGGCAACCGGACCGAAATGGCCACTGCCACCAGCGGAAACAATAGGAAAAACGTTGTGCTGGCGTTTCGCCCAATTTTGCCGCACGGGGGGAGCATCAGTTCGGTGAATAAACCCGGAAACATTTTCTTAGCACAGTTCACTGGGACGTGTTCCAGAAAAACAGGCCTGGGGGTAATCGTGGTTTAAACCACCACTACCCCCTGCCGTCATAAATTAGGGCGGACTGGTAGCACAGGTCCAGGAGGGCTATCGGTAGCACAGTTGGGGGAACTGGTGGAGTGGCAAACTTGGAAAATGCTTTGAATTGCCCCCGTGATTTATTTTACTGTTAAACTGTTTTTTTAATATTTTTCCTATAAAGATCACGACAAATCTACGGACCCTCGAATTTTCAGAGTTGTCGAGTCATCCTTCTGAGTGCGAAAAATTTTGAAAGTTAAGGTACTTTTCCTGTTGGCCCACAAGTGGTAGAGTGGCAAAAACGGAAAATGCGCCGAAACTGCGCGACATTGATTTCACGGTGTAATTTGTTTTTTTTTCATTTTTCTGATATTTTTCCTGGAAAGATCACAACCTAATCTACAAGATCTCATTTTTTCATATTTTTTCGTCAATTCTTTTGAGTGTGAAAAATCGCCGAAGTTCACGCTTGGAATGTTGTGGACCGTACCCTCCTGCACCTGCCAGTAGACGATCCCCGTAACCCGGTCCATAAGGCCAGGAAAGACGAATTTAGGCCGGTGGGGTAGTGGTGGCTTAAACCGCCAGTACATTGCCCATGTAAACTCGAAAATCGAGATCGACTCAATCTGCCGGTTCTGGGTGAACATAGCTACCAGACCAAAATGTCTGGCTGCAGCTCCCGAAAAAAAACGGATGTGTGCCACTGGTGGTCCAGTGACACTTGGTACATGGCAAACAAAGGCCCAAAGGTACTGGTGGTTTAAACCCCACTATTTGAGTGTTGTAGGCCCAGTGTTCCCCCTCTTTGGCAGGTCAGGCCGACAGGTAGGAGTGGCTTAAAACCACTGCTACCCCTGACAGCCTAAAGTAGGATGTTTGTCACTGTCCTACTAAACTTCTTCTTTTTTTTTCCTGGAAAGATCACGATCAAATCTACAGACCCTCCAATTTTCAGATTTC